CACTGTTGAGCACGGAAAATCTAAGTTACGTATCTCTAAATTTATTCCATGCTGTAGTAGTGAGGCTGTTTGTAAGGTGATTATGTTAGTAAACCAGGAGGTAACCTTAAAACTCACTAGTTTCTTATTTCTGGTGTGGACGTATGTAATCTAATTAAGGAGGTCCCCTGAGGAAGGTGAGACTAGCTGATGATCCCCAGCTGCTTGGAGAGCTGTTTCGCAAGTAAATCTTGGAGTCTGTGAGAACCTCGTCCAGTGTAGCTGGACGAGGTTCTCACAGACTCCCAGTGGGCGAAAAACCTCCTAGTTAAATCTCTTAAGTGTTGCATTTGTCTTTATTTCAAAGTTTGTCGGTATTGTTATACCTGTACTTATATACCTGTTTATATGTGTCCATGGTGAACATTAAAGTTAAAATTAATGGCTCCTGGTCCAAGTCCTTCCAGTGGCCATTAAAACACAGAGCTGTAATTAGTGAATCCTCAGAATATAGGCAGTGGTGAAAATAGTGTTCCTCCCTCGAAGTCTGCTTTCTGATTCCTTGGTTGTGTAGGTGACCCTGGGAGCGAGGTTTGGTAGGGGTCTGAAAACTTCCCTGAACGTATGTGAAGGTGTCTTTATTTCTACAAGTACATGTACAGGGTATACAGGTCTAGCTGACATCAATGGCATACTACTATATAGAAAGCCACTTGTTATGGAGAGTATTTCGGGCAAATTAGGACAGTTTTGTCCCAGGATGCGACCCACACCAGTCGACTAACACCCAGGTACCAATTTTACTGATGGATGCACATAGACAACAGGTATCATATGGAAACAGGTCCTAATGTTTTCCAGCCATATCGGGGAATCAATCCCAAGACCTCAGTGTGTGAGCTGAGTGCGCTAGTGATCAAGCTACGCGATACCAGCAACACAATATGAGTTGAAACACCAGGAACAAAACTTGTCAGTGAGTTTACATTATTATTATAATAAAAAAGAAGCGCTAAACCACAAGGGCTATACAGCGCTGCAGGGTAGGAATGAAGCAGGGGTATCAGGTGGCAAAAGCGAGAGGGATAATTAGTAGGGTATGGAGAACAGCAGGGCAGTGGATAGTACAGGGGTAAAGGGTAGCAAGAGATTGAGGTAGAAAGGGCTGAGGGGAGTGCGAAAGGCATCATCATCAGAGTTTGTGGAGTAAGTCAGTTGTTGTCAAGAAGTCAATGAGAGACTCAGGATTAGAGGAAACTTTGAGGAAAGAAACGAGGGCATAGATGGAGCCCCTGAGAAATACGGACCAGATGATTGCCAATTTCAATGGCAACATCAAGAGGGTTTGCTATATCGACACCAGCAACCTGCAAAACAGGAGCCGGGTCAGGAGAGTATTTACCACTCAGTTTCCGTACTTTTTCCAGACTGCACTCATAGAGGAAGCCGAGGTGATGGTGGAAACATAATCTTGCCAGCAAGTGCGTTTAGTGTCACGGATGACACGGCGAGCGACCGCTCGCTTCTGCTTAAAATCAAGAAGTCTCTCTGTGGTTCTATTGTACCAGTACCTGCCCCACACAGCGCATTTCAAACGTACTGCCCGAGCACAGGCAGGAGACCACCATGGCACACACTTCTGAGAATGCCTGCCTGAGGTTTGGGGGATAGAGTGAGAAGCTGCGGTTAAAACTGATGTCGAGAAGAGGTGTAAAAGTTCATCAATGGAGGATGAAGAAGAAACTTCACTAAAAGCAGTTAGTTGCGAGTAAAGGTCCCAATTTGCACCATCAAATTGCCAGCGAGGGCTACGAAGAGGTGGTGAATATGAAGGAGAAGTAATAATGATTGGAAAGTAACTGCTGTCATGTAAGTCCGGTAGAACACACCAGGCGTAGTCTAGTGCAGTGGAGGAAGAGCAGACCGAGAGATCGATGCAAGAGACAGTGTGAGTACGAGGATCAAAATGGGTGGGGGTACCAGTACTTAAAACATGGAGGGGGTGAGAAGCGAGAAAAGCCTCCAACTGAATGCCACATGAGTCACAATGAGACCCCCCAAGGAAATGGCGGGCATTAAAATCGCCAAGTAACAGAAGTGGTGGTGGTAAGGATGAAACAAGAAAGGCAAAATCTGGAATAGATAATGCCCGAGAAGGAGAGAGATATAAAGAACATATTGTAAACCACTTATTCAAGTAGATACAGGCTGCAGTGTAATGCAGCGAGGTATGGACAAATAGCTGACAGTACGGAATATCATTGCGTAGAAGAAGGGCACTTTCATTAAAGGTCCCATCTGAGAAAGGATCCGAATAATACAATAAATTATAGCCTGAGATGGGTTGGAAAACAGCTGAGTGTAATTTTGGTTCTTGTAAGCAAACACCAACAGGGGAAAACCTAACATCTGAAGCTCACCCCGATTACCCCTGAGGCCGCGGATATTCCACCGTAAATAGGCCATGATTGGCAACGAGGAAAATACCAGGAATCCACAGGTAAGGGTGCCTACGGACTAGAGGGGTTAGAAAAGTCTATGTGCGGTGGCATCGGAAAATGTTCAAGTAGCGAAGGAACAGAGTGTTGTCGAAGAATGGAGTTGTGGAGATGGAGAAGAGGGAAGAGAAGGAACAGGAGGTGGATCAGTGTCCATTGAAGGTTTAGTCCCTGCAATATATTCTAAAATAGCATCAAGTGTTTCTGAATTCAAAGACATTGTATGGGAGACAATATTGGAGATAGAAGGAGGGTGAGTAAAGATTGGGACAGTAATGGACTGTGCTAAAGTAGGGGGTGATGAAAGCGTGTTGGGAACTGGAGAAGAAGTGTGGGAGGGGACAGAGGAGGCAGAAACCTGGGAGGCAGAAGAAGAGGGAGAGACTTGGGAGGGGACAGGGGAGGAAGGCACAGAACGAGGAGGAGGGTGAATCTCCACACTTGTAATAGAGCCAGTGAGAGGGGAAGAACCAGGTACAGAGACTGGAAAGGTAAAATGTGGGGGTGGAAGAAGGGAAGGAGGGGGCAAAGATGATTTGAGCAAAGGGGATTTTTTGAACTTCTGAGAAGTAGAGGGGCGATTGGTAGGTGTCGTACGAGATCTTGTTGATACCGGGGCTGGTGAGGGAGAACTCGAAGATGTCAGAACAGACTGAGGTGTTGAAGTAGGGACGTCTGAGCCCAGGACAGCAAAAGAATTAGAAACAGGAGTGACTATGGGAGGGGTAACAACAGGGGAGGGGTAACAACAGAGGAGGCTGCAGAAGATGGAACCCCAGAAGTGGGGGGACGTTTTGAAACACAAGGCGGAGATGAGAAACTGCCATAGCATAAGGGAGACCTTCCGCCTCTTTGAGGCAACAGATTTCACGTTCATTTAAGTAGACCTGGCAATGACGAGAGTATGAAGGGTGAGCCTCATGACAATTAAGGCAAGAGGGAGGTCGACTGCAAGACGTATTAGAATGGTCGTCGGCACCACAGACTGGGCATTCAGCTATAGATCTGCAATATTTCGCTGGGTGACCAAATCGCCAGCAATTTCTACACTGTTGCGGTGTAGGGATCACCCTTTGAACTTGTAACCGATGTCCTGCTACATAAACAAAGGATGGGAGTTCACGGCTGTTGAAAGTTAATCTAGCCACATTGCAAGGGTATCGCCTCTGCCAGTGGGCAGGAAGGACATAAGTGTCTACCTTGAGGATTGGGAGATCTTGGAGCTCCAGCTGTTCAAGAATGTCTTTGCCACATGCTTGAAAATTCTGTTGGACTATGGTATGGGGCAGAATGACAGTACCACTACAAGAATTGAGGGAATGATGTTTTTCGATAGTGACAGGAATAGTATCGATATGTGAAAGAAGAGAAAGATCATGAGCTTGGGTAGCATTCTGAACAGTCAGTCGAAACCCCAGCACCTGAAGTGGGTAAGGAAACAGCACCAGCAAGAGGTACAGGGGCATCAGGAGTGTCCGAAGAGTGGTCAAAAAACGAGGCAGGGTCAGAATGGAGTGTGGTATCAAGGGGCCCGGGGGTAGTAGGTTCATGGACTGGGTTCTCCATGGCTAGGTTACTTCTTTTCTTTTTGTTTTTAAGAAAAAAAAAAAGAAAATAAAATAAAAATAAAAAGAATAAAAAAAGGGGGGAATGGGAAGGAATAGTTCCCAGGAGGAATGAAAGGGCCGGAAATCTCCCTCCGCGCCCAAGAGGACCTCAGCACCGCAAGTAGTGCAGATGCAGCCTGGAACCCGTGCCATATCCTACCCTTCATGCCAGTAAACCAGCAATCCGGGATAGCAACCTCACATCTGCTGAGCTACCTCGGTGGACAAAAGAGAGGGCAGTCAGATATCCACCACAAAGCATACCTCCTTCGGCCACCACCCCCGGAATCCGAAAGGTGGCTTCCAGAGATACACCCGTCGCCCGAAAGACACCCAAAGCCACCCTCCGGGATACCACAGAGGGATCGGGACATCCCCAGGTGATCCAGATTCCACGGCAAACTACGCCACCGCCAAGAACCTCAGCGGAATGGGATGGACCCCAGTACTCTTTTCCCTACCTAGGAACTAGCACGCCTGTGGGAAAAATCCCAAAGGCCAAAAAGAGGAAGGGCAAAAGGGAGGGGTGGGGAGGAGGAAAGGAAAAAGAGGAGAATGGGGAGGATGGAATAGGGGATTGGGGGGTAATTAGGTTCAGTCTGAGGAAGGAGACCGACAGGTCTAATTCCTCAGACCAAGAGCCTCTTCACCACGCCAAGGAGCCCCCCCCCAATGGAAAATAAAGGACCCCAATGGAAATAAGTCACTCTGTGACTTTTTTGGGTTATCCTAGGTTCTCTACACATATGCTGCTATGTATGATAATTCTATGTAACTGTATTGTGTATACCTGAATAAATTTACTTACTTACTTACTTACCCCCTTGAAGAGGAGTAAGTTTATAAAATGTATCTATTGAGTTTCATCGAATGTCACAGCCTTATCATGTTTACACTACTCTCTCTCTTGTGACAGAACTGGTATCTGCTGGAGACGTGGTGGAGGAGCTGCTCGTCCTCAGAGACAACCTCGTCAAGCTGTGTAACCACACATTCTTCAACCACAGTAAGAACCTTGTTTATCTTCCCCCCTCCCCCCCATCACCCACCAGACTTCTCCCACTTGATAATCGTTTTCGTCGTTTATTACGTTATAAACGAATTGTTATTTGCTTTTGTGAATGCTTCTAGTTTATTTGTACAATATAGAAAGTTTACTTTGATTTTCTTTTTTTAGTAATATATGTAGTCTCAGCTGTTTGCATGTCATCTTTAGTAATAAAAAAAATAAAATATAGTGCCACTTCTTTAACTATACTAGTCACACTGAACATAAATTGTGATAAGTTTTCTTATATATATATATATATATATATATATATATATATATATATTTATATATATATATATATAATATTATATATATATATATATATATATATATATACAAGTCGTACCAGAAGTGCTCAGACATCACAGAAATCATAAGGCCAGGACAGACCTTCACCACAGTACTCATACTCATTCCTGGCAGTTTGGAAATATCCTTATACTCGCCTATATGTGATTGCAGGGGTCGATTCATAGTTCCTGGTCCCGCCTCTTCACTGGTCGATACTAATTCACTCTCTTCCTTCTCCATGAGCGTTATCATACTTCTTCTTAAAGCTATGCATGGAACTTGCATCCACTACTTCACTCTCCAGATTATTCCACTTCCTGACAACTCTAAGGCTAAAGAAATACTTCCCAACATTCCTATGACTCATTTGGGTTTTCAGCTTCCAATTGTGTCCCCTTGTTCCTGTATCCCATCTCTGAAACATTCGAGCCCTGTCCACCTTGTCAATTCCTCTCAGTATTTTATACGTTGTTAACATGTGCCTCCACTATCCCTTCTATCCTCTAGCGTCATCAGGCTGAGTTCCCTTAACCTCTCCTCATAAGACATACCCCTCAGTTCCGGGACTAATTGCGTTGCAAATTTTTGCACTTTCTCCAATTTCGTGACGTGTTTGACTAGGTGAGGGTTCCATACTGGTGCTGCATACTCCAATATAGGGCTGACGTACATGGTGTACAATGTCGTGAATGACTCCTTACTCAGATGTCTAAATGCTAATCTTAGGTTGTCAATTGCCCATATGCTGCAGCAGTTATTTGATTGATGTGTGCCTCAGGGGACATGTTCATTATAATGCTTACCCCAAGATCCTTTTCTTTAAGTGACGTTTGCAGCCTTTGATTTCTTAACCTGTACGCCGTCTGCGGTCTTCTGTGTCCTTCCCCAATCTTCATGACCTTACACTTACTGGGGTTAAACTCCAGGAGCCATTTGTAGGACCAGACTTGTAGTCTGTCCAGATCCCCTTGTAATCTTAACTGATCTTCGCCCGCTTGTATTCTCGTCATCAGTTTCACATCATCAGCGAACAGTGACACTTCTGAGTCTATTCCTTCCACCATGTCATTCACGTATACAAGAAACAGCACCGGACCTAGGACTGACCCTTGTGGAACCCCACTCAGCACACGCGTCCACTCCGACACTTCATCACGTACCAACACTCGTTGTTTCCTTCCTGCCAGGTATTCCCTGATCCATTGCAGTACTTTCTCTACTATTCCTGCCTACTCTAATTTTTTCCACTAGTCTCTTGTGTGTCAAAAGCCTTCTTGCAGTCCAAAAAGATGCAATCTACCCATCCCCTCTCTCTCCTGTCTTACTTCTGTTACCTTACCGTAGAATTCAAGTAGATTTGTGACGCAGGATTTCCCATCTCTGAAGCAGTGTTGATTGTCATGTATGAGCCCAATCTTTTCAATGTGTTCCACCACTCTTCTGATAATCTTTTACATGACTTTACATACTATAAAGTCAGTGGCACTCGTCTGTAGTTTAACGCTGCCTGTCTATCTCCTTTCTTGAAAATTTGAACTACATTTGCTGTCTTCTATGCCTCGGGCAACTTTTCAGTTTCGATAGATTTACTGAAGACTGCTGCTAGTGGCACACAGTTCCTCTGCTCCCTCTCTCAGTATCCATGGAGATATGTTATCTGGGTCCACCGCCTTTGAGGTATCTAGTTCACCTAGCAGTTTCTTCACCTCTACCTTCGTTATGTGTATAGTGTCCAGCACCTGCTGGTGCACCCTACCTCCAGTATTTGCTGGAAGCATTCCTGTCTCTGTTGTGAATACTTCTCTAAATCTTGTATTAAGTTCATCACATACTTCCTGGTCACTCTTTGTGAGCTCCCCTCCTCCTTTCTTCAGCCTGATTACCTGGTCTTTGACTGTTGTTTTTATCCTAATGTGACTGTATAACAACTTTGGTTCACATTTGGCTTTTGATGCTATATCGTTCTCATATTGCCTCTGGGTCTCTCATTCGTTTCTGGTTCTTCTGCTCAAGTCCTTGTTTTCTTGAGTCCTTTGCCTTCTATACTTTTTCCATGCTCTAGCACACTTGGCTCTGGCCTCTTTACACCTCCAATTAAACCATGGGCTCACTCTGGTCTTACCATTTTTTCTGTTACCCTTTAGTATGAACTTCTCTGCTTCCCTGCACTTAGTGGTCACTAGTTCCATCATTTCATTTACTGTCTTTCCCTCTAGTTCTCTTTCCCACTGCATTTCATACAGGAAACTTCTCATTCCTCTGTAGTCCCCCTTTTTAAAGTTCAACTTCTCTTGTTCTGGTGCTGCTGCATTCTCCACTATTAACTCTACAAGGTATTCAAAACTCAGGACATCATGATCACTAGTGCTATGTCTGAACTATTCAAGGTGAATATGAGATCCAACCTTGCTGCAACATCCTCTCCTCTCTGGTTGTATCCCTAACATGTTGGTGCATGAAGTTCTCCAGTACAGTCTCCAACATCTTAGCACTCCATGTGGCTCTAGGTTTTTCCAGTCAATGTCTTTGATTGAAGTCCCCGATTATAAGTAATTTTGTCCTACCTATATGAGCCCTCCAGGCTACTTCAGCTAGTGTATCCACCAATGCCATATTGTACACATCATACTCTTATCTTGTCCTCCTGCTGTTCAGTGGTGGGTTATACATCACTGCTATCATCACCTTTGGACCCCCAGTCTGAAGTGTTCCTAAAATGAAGTCATGTTTCCCTTTTATCCATTCCTCCCATTTCCTCAAAACTCCACTGTTTTTTTATGAGCAGTGCTACGCCTCCCCCCTACTCTGTTCTATCTTTCGTCATCATCTGATAACCAAGTGGAAAGATTGCATCTGTTATCATCCCTGTAAGTTTTGTCTCTGTTAGTACTATGATGTCAGGTGATGCATCAATGATTCGTTCTTGCCACTCTTCACTCTTATTTGTTATACCATCTGCATTGGTGTACCACACCTTTAGCTTCCTTTCCATTACTGCATTTTGGGAGAGGGAAGAGGAAGGTGCAGGTTGGGAGGGTGGGAGACAGGGCAGATTATGGGAGGCTGCTGTGATTGTAGAATTAGTGCTTAGGGGGAAGGGGCTATGGAGTGTGGTTTGTTTCTGGTTATTGTGTTTGGTTGATATGTGGTGACAAGGGTTGAAGGGTTTCTGTAAGCATTGGTATTTGATGTTCGCCCAGTGGCTGAGCTTTCCTGTCTTTCGTTGCCTGTCCTCTCTCTCTTTTCTTCCACTAGTTTTGTCTTGCTCTCACTTTCAGTTGTCCCCTTTCTTTGTGTGTTCTGTCTCGACTGAGGTACACTTGTTGATAATCTTGAGAGTCCTTTAAGAGTGGCTTCTGTTTAGTATCCTGTTCTGTACCACTTCTGTTTTGAATGTCAAATTGATTGGTCAATTTTTTTCCCTCGAATACCCCCCAAGTCTGTGAAATTTTTCTACCTGAGACATGTCCTTCGCTCCTGTTTTTGTAATGATTTTCTCAATCTCTGTTTCCTCCCAATGCTTCCTTGCATCATAGGTCTTCCCTTCAACCTCCTGAAGCCCATGAATAATTATTAGCCTCTCCCTCTCTTCTTCCCATTTCTTTTCCCTCCATATCTCTGGATTTGATTTAAGCATCTCCTTTGTTGTTTCCCTTATCATCTCCCGGACACCCTGATATTACTGCTGCAAAAGGCTTCTTAGCTCCATCCCCTCCTTAAGTCCCCTCACTGCCTGCTGTTCCCATTTCAGTCACCTTGCTCCTTTTGAACCTCATCTTTATATCCTGCTTCAGCACATCCATTTCTTCCTTCAGTTTCTGTATCTTTCCCTCCGCTACTACAGCTCGTGATTCCCACTTCTTGCTCTCTGCAGATATCTTCTCTAACATGTTATTGCAAAGCTCATTTAAGCTTTTTTCCCATTCGTGTTCCATTTTGTTCTTCATCTGTTCTACCCATTCTTCCTTTTCAGACCAGCCATCCTCGGTTCCCTTGCCTTTACATCCTCCCTTTTCAGATCCCATTTTTTTTATCCTATCAGGAAGCTCTAGCTCCTTCATCTTTGTGTAAAAATGTGTGTGGTGGGGGGGGGGGGATTTATGAGCTAATATGTTAGGTTAGGTTTGTCTGAGTATGTGTATGTTTCTGTGTGTGTGTGTACTCACCTAGTTGAGGTTGCAGGGGTCGAGTCCTAGCTCCTGGCCCCGCCTCTTCACTGGTCACTACTAGGTCACTCTCCCTGAACCATGAGCTTTATCATACCTCTGCTTAAAGCTATGTATGGATCCTGCCTCCACTACATCGCTTCCCAAACTATTCCACTTCCTGACTACTCTGTGGCTGAAGAAATACTTCCTAACATCCCTGTGATTCATCTGTGTCTTCAACTTCCAACTGTGTCCCCTTGTTGCTGTGTCCCATCTCTGGAACATCCTGTCTTTGTTCACCTTGTCAATTCCTCTCAGTATTTTGTATGTCGTTATCATTTCCCCCCTATCTCTCCTGTCCTCCAGTATCGTCAGGTTGATTTCCCTTAACCTCTTCTCGTAGGACATACCTCTTAGTTCTGGGGCTAGTCTTGTTGCAAACCTTTGCACTTTCTCTAGTTTCTTTACGTGCTTGTCTAGGTGTGGGTTCCAAACAGGTGCCGCATACTCCAATAT